TGATCAAACCCAGCAGCACCACAGACTTTAAAGAAACCCTCAGTGTTCTGGATGCGTCTTTACCTGACAGCACCTGGACATTTGAGAGCCAGCAGGTAAGCAGATTCACATTCAAAGTAATTTAGATTTACATTAGCATGCCATTTTGAAACCAGAATGGGAGTGAAACGCAATTTAAACGTGGTAATAAATTAGACCTAATTACATTGTTGTAAACAGTACAATCAGCTTAATTTCTGGATATTTTTGGTTTCTTTTTATACATTTTCTAGATAATGTGTATTGTGTTGTTTGTTTCTTTTTTTAATGATTGACCTAGTATGTGCTGTGGTTTCTTATTTCTTAATTGCAAACTGACTTTGAAATGTCAGGTACACTATAAATCTGTGTTTTTTAAACTCAGTCCTGCGCGTTTTTAGTCTGTCTCTGCTCCAGCACATGCCCATTAAATGATTGCATTCCCACCTCAGCAGCCCACAGGGGCTGTAGGACCCATTCTATTCATGTAGTTGTTTAAATCATGTGTGGGAAGGTAGGAAAACACTTATAGGACAGTGGGTCCTGAGTGCCGAGTTTCTAAACTGCTTTAGAGTACAGATTTCAGCACCATAGTCTCGGACAGCGACCGAAATTTTGTGACACAAAGAGGATGCACTGACCGTCTTTAAATCACAATAAAATGACTGACTGAATGAGGTTTTCTGTTTTTATTAATGAAAATACACTATATTCCAATAATCATGTAAGATATTTATAAGACTTGGTGATTTTTAATTATATTTGTATAGGATTGTTTGTGTCTGCGGAATATTGAATAATATTAATTTACAGTCTCCCATCGTGAATCAAAAGGGAGTTATGTGTGTATTTCAAGGCCTTGTTCTGATTGGATACCAGAGGTGGAAGCTGTGAACCAATAGAATTCAGAACTGTACAAAGAGATCTAATCCCTCCCCCTCTGCAGCTTCAGCAACCACAATGCTCTGAGTGGGAGAACAGTCGGCAAATATTTCCTATATTTGAAGCTTAAGATAATGTCTCAGTTTAAATCTCGTCCATAAATAGATTCTATTCCAGCCGGGCATGTTGCGTTCACGGAATATTATCATTTCCTTTTGGTCCTTCACTCTATTGGAATGGAAACGGTATTATTGGTAGAATAAGGATGACAAAGAAGAAAGGATACCGAGACTGGAGATGGCAGGCGCTTTGGTGGCATCAATTCTTTCTCTTGTGGAATACAATAAACGGACAGACTCGTTACAGCATACAGGAGGAGCTGAAAAGGGGATCTGTGGTTGGAAATCTTGCCAAAGACTTAAATCTGGGACTCTCTGACATTTTTCACCGTAAACTACGTGTCCCCTCTGAGGCAGGTGGGGAGTATTTCAGCGTGGATGCGGGGAAGGGCGAGTTGGTAGTGAATGACAGAATTGACAGAGAGGCTTTATGTGGACAAAGCACAAGCTGTATATTACCTCTGCAGGTTGTAATAGAGGACCCGTTACAGTTACATCGAATTGAAGTAGAAATTAAAGATATTAATGACAATTCTCCAAATTTCCTTTCAAATGAATTATCTTTAAATATAGTCGAATTAGCGGCTGTTGGTACGCGCTTCCCTTTAGAGGCAGCAGGGGATCCTGATGTAGGGAGCAATTCACTTAAGTCTTACGCGCTCAGTAAAAACGACTGCTTCTCACTGAAGATAAAAGAAATTGAGGGAGGTAAAGCTGTTCCAGAGCTTGTTTTAGAAAAAAATCTTGATCGAGAGAAAACCTCTGTTCACAAAATATTACTAACAGCTTTAGATGGAGGAAACCCTGTGAGATCTGGAACAACACAAATAACAATAACAGTTCTTGATATTAATGATAATTTCCCAATTTTTGAGAAAAACCTGTACAAAATATCACTGAGTGAAAATAGTTTGAAAGGAACAACTATTATCAAACCCAAAGCAACGGACGCAGACGAAGGCTCAAATGGTGAAATAGAATTTTCCTTTGGGTCGCGTACTCTGCCTTCTGTGTTAACAGCTTTTCAAATCGACTCATTAACAGGTGAAATCACTCTGAAAGGAGACTTAGACTACGAATCCGTTAAGTCATATGACATTGATGTCATTGCAAAAGATAAAGGCAGCCCTCAAATGGAAGGCCACTGTCGTGTCCAGGTAGATATTACTGATTTTAATGATAATGCCCCTGAAATCGTTTTTACGTCTCAGCCTAAACCTGTGCGCGAAGATGCACCAAGCGGAACTGTTGTTGCTCTGATCAGCGCAAAAGATCTTGACTCTGGGGATAACGGTAAAGTAATCCTGAATCTCACCAAAGGCCCCCCGTTTAATCTGAAACCATCATTTTCTAATAATTATGCACTTGTTACTCTTGGTACCTTGGACAGAGAACGTGCGTCAGAGTATAATATTGAGATAACCGCGACCGATTCAGGCTCACCTAAGCTCACTAGTAGGACTGCTATCCCTGTTATTATAACTGATGTCAATGACAACCCTCCTGTTTTTAATCAGCCCTCCTATAATGTATATTTAAAAGAAAATAAAGTTCCAGGATCTATACTATTCTCTGTATCAGCCTCTGACCTGGATTCTGGTGAAAACGCAAAGATATCTTACTCCATCCTAGATTCTAAAGTACAAGACGTTTCTGTCTCATCTTATGTTTACATTAATTCAGAAAACGGGAGCATCTACAGTTTGCACTCATTTGACTATGAGAAGCTGAAGGTGTTTCAGATTCAGGTTCAGGCAAAGGACCATGGTTCCCCTCCTCTGAGCAGCAACACCACTGTCCATGTTTTTATCCTGGACCAGAACGATAATGCTCCCGCTGTTATTTACCCCTCCTCTGCTGCCCTGGGTTCTCTCTCTCATCAAAGGATGCCCCGCTCTGCTAAAGCTGGTCACCTGGTTACTAAGGTGACGGCCGTGGACGCTGACTCCGGCCATAATGCCTGGATCTCCTACAGACTGGCGGAGGCCACAGACGCCTCTCTGTTCACCGTCAATCAGTACACAGGGGAGGTGAGGACTAAACGCGCTGTAACCGAGCAGGATGACTCCTCTCAGAGGCTGCTGATAGAGATCAAGGATGATGGGGAACCGGTTCAGTCCGCCACCGCTACGGTGTCCATCCTGCTGGAGGACGGTCTCCATGAGCCCATCTTAGACCTCAGACATAAAATATCTGAGCCCAGCAAAAAAACTGGCAGAATTACCCTTTATTTGATTCTTTCTCTGGCCTCAGTGTCCGTGCTGTCTCTGGTGACGTTTCTCATCTTAGCGGTGAAATGCATCAGGAGCAGCAGTAGCAGCGGGAGCTGCTGCATGAGAAGAAGCGACTGTGATGATTACAAGAACCCCAACAGAAACCTGCAGATTCAGCTCAACACTGATGGACCCATAAAGTACGTGGAGGTCCTGGGAGGAGACAGGATGTCTCAGAGTCAGTCCTTCAGGTCCTGCATGTCTCCAATGTCAGAGTACAGTGATTTTACTTTGATCAAACCCAGCAGCACCACAGACTTTAAAGAAACCCTCAGTGTTCTGGATGCGTCTTTACCTGACAGCACCTGGACATTTGAGAGCCAGCAGGTGAGCTGAAAATATCAGTCTTTTCAGACTGAGTAGAACATTTTTTTCTAGCTCTTTTTTGGCTGCATATTTATTTATTTCTCTTAAGCTCTCTTCTAGGCTGCTATAACATATTTTGCATCTAACATGTAGCTATTTAAAGCCCTTCTTGGTAATTTTGAAAATGTGTTTCAGTGGAAAAAATAATGTGCCTTAGATTAATCCGAGTTATTAAATCATATTAAAACTGAGAAAAGGCCAATAAAGTAGTTCAGAGTATTTCTTGTATTGAAGTATTTTTCGAAATACATTCATTCGCTACTCACATGTTTCTATAACATTTGCTGTAGTTTAACCTTGAACTGTATATTAAGGTATTCTTCCAAAAAGTTGATTATTTAGCATTTATTATTTAGTTTCTCATCTGGTAACTATAAGTGATTAACGGTGTTAAAATTCGTGAAAGCTGTATCAGGCAACTGCATTTAGGATTACTAGTTATAACTATTATTTTTCAAAGCACGCCGCCATGCGGTAGCAGAAGACATTTTTCTGGGGCATTTCTTTAACAAGCTGCTGGTTTCAGGGTGCGGAGGCAAATCACAGACGAACAAGAGGTCTCATGTTTCAATTAATACCCACTGCTGTGTGAAGCTGTACTTTACATGTCTTTGGGGGGAAAAAATCTGTCCAACTTCTTTCTCAAACTTCCTAAAACTTCATGCTGCTCTGGTAGGTTTATACTCGTCTCTGAAAGAGAAGTCCTCAAAGTTTAGTGTGGGTGTGGGAAGGGTGACAGCATTGCTCCAGCTTTGTCCTCCAATGAAAGGGCAGCCCTCTGTGGTCTCTCCCCGCCCATGGAGAGAGTGAGACAGAGGAGTCAGAGCAAAGAGTTTTAGTGGAGCCTGGAACAACTTTGATTTTTTTCCCCCGTGTTTTTTTCTTTAACCTCGATCGCCATGTCTACATCAGAACTTCCAATCGCTTTGCTTTTAGAGTGGAAATGTTTACATCGAGCCGTGTAGACTCGCCTGAACAATACTACTATGGATACGTGACGGTGAGCGAAGTTGGAAACTTTCTCGATCCTCGGAGCGCAGCACAATGGACTCCAGGCAGAGGAAGCGCTCCGGAGGAGGGACGCTGTGGAGGATTTACCTCTATCTGGCCTGTATCTACTCTGCCTCCGCTGAGCTCAGATATTCTGTTTTGGAGGAACAAGATCCGGGGTCTGTGGTTGGAAACATCGCGAATGATCTGAGCCTTAATGTTCAGGATATCGTCAGTAGGAGGCTACGGGTGGTCTCTGAGTCACCGGTGGAGTATTTTGAAGTGAAACAAGCAACTGGTGAATTAATTATTAAACAAAGAATTGACAGAGAGCAACTGTGTGAACTGAGTTCATCTTGCTCACAAAAAATCCAAATTATCCTGGAGCATCCACTGGATATTCACCGAGTTGTTGTGGAAATCCGGGATGTGAACGATAACGCGCCGCAGTTTTCAACCAGCAATATTTCTCTGGAGGTGTCAGAGGCGGCGGCGCAGGGCACACGGTTCCGTTTGGAGAGTGCGCACGATCCAGACGTGGATACTAACTCCTTACGATCTTACCGTTTGGCTGCAAATGACTTCTTTACACTGAATGTGGAGACTAAGAGTGATGGCAGCAAGTTTCCAGAACTGGTCGTGAATAAAGCTCTGGACAGGGAGACACAGGCCTCTTTTCGCCTGTTACTCACTGCTGTGGATGGGGGTCAGCCGCAGAAATCTGGCTCAACACTTCTGCTCATTAAAATTCTGGATGTAAATGACAATGCGCCCGTCTTTAGTGAGCCAGTGACAAAGGTGACGTTGTTGGAAAATGTCGCACAGGGCACTTTAGTTACAAAATTAAACGCAACTGACGTTGATTCTGGCAGTAATGGTGAAATATCATTCCTGTTTAGTAAATACACACCAGAGCGTGTTCTCCAGCTCTTCAGCATAGACTCCAAAAGCGGGGAGATCAGTGTGAAGGGGGATGTGGACTATGAGAAGGCCACATCTTATCACATTACAGTGCAGGCCAGAGATGGGGGAGACCCTGCCATGGAGGGCTCCTGTAACCTCATAGTGGACATCATTGATGTGAATGACAATGCCCCGCAGGTGACACTGATGTCTGCAACCAGCTCCATCAGTGAAGATTCACCTAAAGAAAAAATGATTGCTCTCATAACTGCTCGAGACCTGGATTCTGGAGATAATGGGAAGGTTACATTAACCATCCCAGCAGGTCTGCCTTTTAAACTTAATTCAGCCTTTGATGGTCATTATAGTCTGATAACTGCTGGCAGCCTTGACAGGGAGACTGTCCCAGAGTACACAGTGGTTATTAAGGCAACTGACGCTGGCTCCCCACCCCTCACATCCCAACAAACCTTTGTCGTAACGCTCCTGGATGTAAACGACAATGCCCCCTCCTTCTCCCAGCCTTCATACTCTGTGGACATCCCTGAAAACAACCTCCCAAGTTCTCCTATAGCTGTTGTTTCTGCCACCGATGCTGACCTGGGTGAGAATGCTCATATCTCCTATTCCATTCTTCCTAGTATGATCCAGGACTCTCCCATCTCATCTTATGTGTACATCAACCCAGAGACTGGCCACATCTACAGCATGCGCTCCCTGGACCATGAGAAGGTTAATGCTTTCCGCATTCAGGTGCAGGCCAGGGATGCAGGGGAGCCCCAACGGGCAACAAATGTCACTGTACATGTGTTTGTTGTAGATGTGAATGACAATGCACCAATGATTGTTCATCCCTCCTACCCTAAGGACAAAAGACTCCAGCTCAGTGTGCCCCCATCTGTTAGCACAGGCCATGTCATAAATAAACTGGTTGCAGTGGATGCAGACAGTGGGCACAATGCATGGTTGTTTTACTCTATTGCACCAGGACCAAACGCTGGCATGTTCCGTATTGGGGTCCACACTGGAGAGCTCCGAACGGCCCGCAAGTGGGCCGAAGAAGATGAGGGTTCTACTTATGACATAACAGTCATCATCCAGGATAATGGGGATCCACCAAAATCTACTTCTGTGAATATCACCGTAACCGTGGATGAGAAGGCCAAAGCTGTTGATGTCCCTTCACACCCCCGACACAACCACTTCTACCACCACACTGGGATGTCTAACATCACTTTATATCTCATCATCTCTCTCGCATGTGTGTCAGGTGTGGCTTTCATCACTTTTCTGGTTCTCATGGTGCGCTGCCTTAGGCACCGTGGTCCAGGGCTGGGAGACTCTGAATGCTGCTGCTATGGCCGCAGCAGGTCCAGCCGCTACCATCAGAGGCCCAGTAAAGACCTACACCTGCAGCTCAACAGTGATGGGCCCATACGATACATGGAGGTGGTGGGAGGCCCCCAGGATCCTCACACACGCACCTATCGGCCCTGCTACTCCACCATATCTAGCCGAAGTGACTTTGTATTTATGAAGACACCCATGCTGAGTCATAACAACACGCTCAACATGACACTCAGTCGGAAGAACCTAATGAACTCAGCCATTGAGGTGAGGGCTTAGAGTTGGGAAGGAAGTCCTCCACAGTTAGGATCATTTTTTGTCTTTTATTCTAATTTATTCAATGCTAGATGTCTTCAAAAATCTGCTTTAACCTCAACCATCAACGCCCTCTTCTGTGGGGGAAATATCTTATTCATTTGTTATTATCATTTATTATTTTTTAACTGTGAATGTAGGAGGATAATATATCTCAGTTGGAATTTATTTGAGTTAGTTGTGTAGATTGAATATCGTTTCCTTCATTTTGTGAGAAGGCTTTAAATTAAAGATGCGACGATCCAGTATTAATACCGTATTGGTCGCGATACTGAAAAAAGGATTCTAGATTGGGTATCTATGAAAATAGGTCTGATTTATGGGTGCAGTGGTATTGAGTCAATTTCTATAATAAACTGAAGTAAGGTCAAAATTCTCTGGAACAGATTTTCCCCTTTAAGGGTATATGTCGGATTTAATGAATACAGTCTATTTGAACCTTTACAGTTGCATAGTTGTTTTCAGGATCAAATTTGTCCAGTTACTGATCTCAAGTTGATTTTTAGGATTCACATGTACAGTCATTCATATCATACATGCTTACAGACAGGAGTGATAACATTATAGCAAACAAAGCTCTGGTATTAGAAACATTTCAGGATATTGTCCAAGTTATCAGAATTGGATCAGAAATGAATGTGGATCGGTGGATCTCTACTTTAAATGTTAACCTCATATACTTCTCATATACTTGGTGAGTTGGTTAACAGAAAAGTATTTTATTTTACCTAACTAAAGACTTTAGACTGTTAGTGGGTTGATGGTACTTGAATAGCAGAAAGGGCTTTTTTATAGAAGAAAAGGGACAAAACATTTCTTAAAAAAATGAAGGTACTGTTATTGAAGCTAGTTCAAAATAGAAAAGAAAAAGGGAAAATAATAGTTTTCCTAACAGGTGGGGAGGAGAAATCCAGCTGAAATAGGTCCTGAAGAGTTGGCTTTGTGGAGTGCAGACAGAGAGGAACAGGATGACAGAAAGAGGGATGGCGGGAGTGAGGAAGAGGAAAATGGCAAGAGAGGTGGAATTAAAGAGCCAAAGAATAAAGCAGTAGCTGAAAAACAGGAATTTGTGGGGTCATCAGCCTGACCCTGACTTCCTGTTGTCCCCTGAGCCCCTGCATCCATTAAACAGCAACATGTGTGAAGTGGATCTTGCTCATTTGGTCCTGTGCAGTTTTTAGTGTACCTAGAGGCTTTTTGATAAAAATTTTAACATAATTTTTCTGCGTTCTTAAAGTATCCAACCATTTTATATCAGTTTATAAAGTCTAACTGGAGTTGTTTTGTTCCAGAGGTCAGTAGGATACCATCTGTCTCCCTGCTCTAGTGACACGTGTGGAACAGAGATTGAGGGACAGATAACTAGAATGGAAGAACGACTTTACGCACGTGTGACACAGTGACAGAAGGCGCAGTCCTTAATGGCTTTAGAGCAGCCGCCCTCACTAGGGGTGTTTATGTGCATCTGTGCGTGAGATTATGTGTACAAAGCTTCAAGCACAAGCAGCCCTGCAGTCATGTGTAATTTTAGTAGGACCATAGGGGCCGTAGTGACTTCCCACTGCTCCTCTTTTTGTCTTCTATTCAACCACAGTGTGCTGTTTTGAAAAAAAAAAAAAAAACTTTCATATTGTTTGAATATTGAGTTTCTTCAAGGTGTTCTAAATAATTATGTATGCTTGGTTTACATGGAGGAGCATCATTTGACTTCCTTTTGTTTAATTTACCCATCTTACTTAGAATCTAAATGAGAGTTTTATTAATTTTGAGCATAGCTGAGTTTATAGTTCTCTTTGAACATTTTCCTCTCCTACATCCTGACAGTCTACTTGCTGTGTTATTGATAGTACAGCTTTAGGGTTTGTGCATTTGATTGAAAATACCACAATAGTTAATACACTTTTTTTTTAACATACAAACATATTAGTGAAAGTTTAATTGTATGCTTGCACCAACACATACTCTTTCAATCTAGAAATTTGGCCTGTTCTATCTGCATATGTTTCTTTTGTTATATGCAGAAAGAAAGAGATTTGTCTTTTTTTATGCTGGCTCACTTAGTAACTACCTTTGAGTAACTACCTAGAGACGATAGCTGATAAATACGATTATTGTGCAAGGTTTACACTCACACATTCACTGGAGTGCATCCAATTGTGTCACATCTTTGTGTATTTCACTTAGACCTACCGCTAATCTAGCTCTGGTAGTGCTGAAGTGGCTTTATGCTGTAACTTGGTCAGATGTAATTAAGCTACAACTTTAGAGCTCTTTGACTGTATTTAAAGATGTACAAAAAGACTGATAGTTTTAAGATTAGTTTGATGGTGTGTTGCATACGAATTTGGGTTTAAGTCCTTTAGTATTGCTTTATTCTTAAGGTTTTTGTCTTATTTGTCTAACTTTCAAGGACGGACACGTTATGTGTTTTACTCTTAGACACAAGAAGAACCAGATATGAGTCCGTTTCACAGATAATACTTCAAAGCCTTGAATATTGTGCTACAGCCCAATAGGAAATTGCGAGACTTATTAAAAAGTGTTTAGTTCAGTAAAAACATGCTTAATAAGAATATTAATGTGCCAAATGGAAGTGCAACATTTTGAGTTTTGCACACATGTCTGGAGAAAGCAAACAGAAAGCATAAAGCCTCGAAAGAATACATTTGTGACGGAGTAAAGCATCATGGCAGATTATACATTTGCAGTGTGATTGTCATGAAGTGACAAAAATTTGCCTGAATGAGTGTGCTTGCTGTCCTGCTGATCTGTGTTCAACTTTTACTTTCGCTACAACTCAGACAGACTCGAAACACCCACACATATTTACACATCTACTGAGTTTATTTTTAGATTTTAAATCTGGACCAAGTCCTTCTCTGAATGAGGATAGGGATTACACTTCACTTATGGATTTTCTGAGCTGTAACATTAATAATTTATCTACAATTGGTGGACGTGCTACATTATGCCTATTTTAAAACCTAGGCTCTTTGTTTGCAATCACAGAGAATTTCACAAGTAAGCTGCAAGCATGAGCTTTATCATATTATACTACATGCATTTTAGGGACATTTTTAAATTTAATGACTTCACTGATTCCATCACTCATTACACAACAAAAAGTGTTTTTGTCTTTTTGTTTTCTCTTCAATTATTTTACATATTACATATGTTTCTTTTCTGGAGCCCCTGGTATTGATAATCAAAAGTTTTATTTTTGTCCTTTAGTGCAGGAACCTTTTTTTTGCATGATTATGTTTGTTTGTTTTTTTTCCTCCCCTGTTCTCTTGTATCTTTGCATCATTCCCTCGGGTGGGACAGCTCTTTTAATAATGCAGCATGTTAGGCTGCTTGCCTCTCTCTCCCTGGAGCTCTTGTGTCGATTAGGAAGCAGATTCTGGAACCAAGCCAGGGTTTTTTATTCACTGCATCAGTGCACAACTAGATAAAAGCTGAGAAAGAGTGTGTGGAAGAAATGGAGAAGACATGGTGACATGTGTGAAGATGGACAGGACTGCTGTGGGCATGAAGACATTTAAAAGAGTAGCTGGAGAGATGCTTTTATCCAAGCTTAGCTATAAACATGGGCTGTTTGATTTCAGAACACGAACTTAGTGTTCAATGGGTTCTTCTGTAGTTTTCTATAAATAAGAAATTATTTTCTCAAGAACAAAATACCCTTCATAAATCTGAATAACTTTTTATCTTCTAGCTGCATTGATACTATTTTCAAATGTACGGCTCTTTCCTTGCTCCACAGATCACCTGTGTCTCTTCCTGCAACCGGCTGTTTATTCATAGACTTTATAAACCATGCACCACTGAGTAGATATGCGCTCCTGTGCAGTACTGTATGCCCCACAGCTTTCAGAACAGCATGGATGCCTGAACATCAACACATTTGTGGCCATCTGTAGCTATATTTTGAGGTTCATGTTTTCTTAATGACAAAAAAGAAAACCACTCTAACAAACACACATGTTCTATGACATGCAGATATCTCAGTCACAAAGCACACACACAAACCTTTGAAACATCTTGCTGTTGCTGCAGTTAAACATCCATTTCATGCTGCAAATTCTTTTCTCTCTGCAGCAAAAGCCACCCAACAATGACTGGCGTTTCACACAAGGACAGAGACCTGGACCAAGCGGGTGAGTTAACCAAGTCACACATGCACAGACAGCTTAACTATTGATCGATATAAACCTCAGTGTCGTTGCTCTCCACAAAGAAAAGAGAATGAGAAAGGATGAAGAAAGCTGCTTGAAAAGGAACTGATTTTAGTCAGAGAGATGTGGACATCCTATTCTGACTTGGATCTGCATTGATATTGGTCAAATTCCCCTTAAAGATTCTACTGGATGTTCATAGACTCCTGAATGAGAATCTGTGCCTGTTTTCAGGCTTCTTTATAAAATGGCTGCCACAGCTTCCCCTCCCCCTCCCCTGCTTTCTTTCTCCTCCCTGCTCTCCTCGAGCCTGTGCACCATCACTCAGTGCTTCTGATGAGCGACGCTGACCAGAGCTGGGGGGATATTGTGTTTATCCATTTTCCTCTATCCTCATTTCCATCTGACGCATCAGTCAAACGTGGCTTTTTATGGCCTCCCTGTTAAATAGGCTCAGATCAGGTTTTTTCTTTTTTTTTTTAATGGTTTCAGATGTGCAGTTTATAAGCATTTTTGTTGCTCCTTTTCCATGTTGTTGGCTAAAGCTGTATTCCCAGAGTTGATATCACATCATATTATTAAGTTGAGATCAATACCTGAAAAAAAAACAGCTGAGACAAAAAGCTAGATAGTTAGAGCAGCATTAGATTATAGATGCACAGTGTATATTCATCACCAAAATTGAAGAAAACTGAAAGGAATTTGAAGGGCAAATAACACACTCTCCTGTTTAGTAAGATCTAGAGTAGAATACTTCATAAATGTCCTTTTCAAGCTTTCAGATAAATACACAATGGTTCTTTCAGGGTGTATAACTTGTTGTGTTTTTAGTCCCCACATGCCATACGGTACACACATACGATGGACGCCGAAGAATGGGACAAGGTACAAGCTTAGACCTAGGCTCTGTACAGTTGCTTTCTGTCCTTGGCAGCTGATCAGGGTTCAGTTTTACCCAAATCCACCTATGAAAAAAAAATTGGATCCTCTGCTAAGGGCAGAGAGTGGCTGAAAAATTTTAGGTAGTGCACTGCAGTTGAGTGCTGTGCTGTGTGTAGTTGTACCTAACCTTTAGCTTTTTATAGCCTCCCTGAAAGTTTGATGGGGTTTGATGTTGGTCGATGTGCAAATAGGCCACAATGCCTGCTGTGGCGTAGAACAAGGACTGTGACATATTTCTGTGCAGTGTTTTTGTAGGTTTGACGTGCCTTGTATATGTGCTATAAACTTAGTTGTTAAAGTCTTAAAGCTCCTTTTTTCCTCTCCTTCTTTGCTGCCTTATATGTGTGTCTGTGATGGTTGTAGCTCAACACCGCCACATGCAGCTTTTCCATGAGATTTATAATGAAGCAGAGGATAATACAAATGGATGTTTGATAAATAAGATTGGAGAGGTCATTTCTTAATATAAACAAAAGCCTGCACCAAGCAGCGACACTCAAAATGCTAGAACCTCAAATGTTGTCAATGTCAGCATGTTCATTATGTGATAACAGGAAAAAGAATGAACTGTGTTCTAGGTAATGGAAAAATGGAAAAATAACAGAAGCTGAACAGAGGAGTGATCTAATTTAACAGAGGGAAAAGCAGCAGCCCAGCCTGACATTCTAAGCACTGTTCTATGGTCAGGAAGTGATAATCTTGACCACAGGAAATGCTCAACAAACCACAGGATGTGATAAGTTTAACAAGATGTTAATTAGGCATAAGCCAATCCTTCCTTTTTATCTCAAATTGTGTGAGGAGGCACAAAATGGCAGCCTTAACTGTGTTTTTACCCTGTCTGTTTCTAATTGGCTGCCTGGCACAGGACCTAGATGCTTCTCCCCCTCTGTCTGTGTCCGGCATCAAACTGAGAACCACTTCAGTTTTCTTTTCTTTTTTTGGCCATACAAACTGGTTCCCTGTGCTCCAACAAGGCTCTAGTTTCTGTGTTATGATTCCTTTTTTGTATTTGTCTCTTTGTGTCCTTTACTTTTTTTGAAAACTCTAAAGCAGGCCAGGTTGTTTCAGGATAGAAGGGTATTTTAGACAGTTTGAAGAAAACAAATACCTTCCTGTTAACATTCCTTATGTTTATCTATCCAAGGTTTGAGGCACTTAAGATTATTAAAGGACTTCATTAGAAATGAGGAATGCAATTCTTAGTATCTTTCTGTACAATTTCACAAAGTTTGACTAAAGGTATATTATAATCATTGTTTAAAATATTTGTTTTTTTTTAAATCTGAGGTTGCAAAAGCCTCCTCATCTCTGGTCTCTACAGTTGATCTCTCATAACATTTCACAATCTCTCATTTAAGCACAAACTGACTCAAAATTCAGACTAGTCTGTGGTCCAGGCCATCATTCAACTTGTATTGTGCTCAGTTTGCCTGTAGTCAATTTGTAGCACCATTTCATATCTTTATTTTACTCCTAGGTCCTTTCTGACTTTCACTTTTGAATCTGTAAACACAGTTTTGTGAAAAACATACTTTACAAATTTGGTTTGGTTTGATTCGAAAAAGCATTATGAGATGGCCTAGAAGGTAAATGACCTGCATCAATCTTTTTATTCTGAGCTGTATACCTCAAGCTGTCAGATCAGACTCACAGACCTGCTGCACGTAACTTCTTGAAATCAATATGGATATCTCAGGTGCCTAAAACCTTTTTTTCTGTGATGTGTATGCATTTCTGCTTTCCTTTTTTATTATAATCCCTTTCGTCAGTCAAACAACCAGTTTTCTAGATAAATTGATTGTTATTTTGTAATGTGTTACTAAAAGAAGAAGTCCTCTAGCTCTCTATATTTGGTTATTTGGGAAGCATTTCTAAAACAGGGGTTAGTTTCTCTTCATCGTACACATTTTATACAGATGTCTTTCTAATCTGCATAAAAAATGTATACTGTATGTCTGCAAAGGATTGCAATAATGTGACTAGTTGTTAGTGAGCTCCTGTTGGTGTTCTGCATTCATAGAGAGTAGGTTGGTTAGTGTCTGCTTTCTCCTTTGTTCGCCCCACATGCAAATTCTACACTGAAAATAAACCCGCTTTGAAGATGAGGTTTGCCCAGATGGAAATGTTCAGCGCACACTGGGCGCCATGTGTGTCACCATGCAGACTGCTATTTCCTTTATTAAAGAAGAAATCATTAAAAATTTAGCCAGATTTACTAGAGGGCTCAATGCTCACCAGCTTGCCGGCGAGTCTTGTACTCTGAATGCGCCAACACGCTGCTGGCTGCTGTGTGCGTATGCATTTGTTCATGCCTCACCAAATGTTTTAGACTCGCCCTGTTCTGTAAAATATACGTCCTTCTTGTTATTCTTGCCAAGGTCACCATCAGCTGCTTTGCTTTTACGTCATAAAGCACCAACTGTAAAGTCATTAAGCTGAAGACAAAAATTGCAGAGGCTTACACAGTTTTTACTCAGTTGTTCTCTGTTTTTGCTTTGTTTTATTTATCAACAGGGCAACTGGAGGACCTGAGGTAGCCATGGGAACTGGCCCCTGGCCGCAGCCCCCCACCGAAGCTGAGCAGCTCCAGGCACTTATGGCAGCAGCTAACGGTGAGTCTGATACCTCATCATAGTCTGTCTCCTTTCTATTCCTTCCTTTACAGACTTATTTTTTCCCATCTTTATGTGCACATGGATGCGTGGGAAGTGCCTGTATGTGTGGCTTCCTGTTTGTTCGGACAGCATCCAGCCAGATCTATTTACTGATAAAGCCACATTGATGTTTCCATGTTGAGGTCATGAGCTAATAAGTAGCCAAAGTCAGGGGGCGGTCATGGCTACCTGTAGTTTTTTTTTTTTTCTCTAGTGTAGTTAATGTGTTGAATTTAAACAAAACCTAGAAGTGTTTCTACTGCACACACCACATCACGAGGTGTTTTATCATAAGCAGAGGTACAGTGACACATATGAACAGTCACCATTCCTGCTCTTGTTTCTACTGGGCAGAAATGGGCTGAACAGGAGGCACATAGTGAGTCATCATCAAGGAGGACAGCGTTTGATATATCATGGAAAACATGAATTATACTACCAGAACTAAGAAAACCAATCAGCAAAGATGGAGAGGCTTGGTCAGTAAAGCTCATTAGCAGACAGACCAAAGTCATTGTTTCCAGTGTTATTTTAACAAATCATATTTCCTTCCTTGGACTCCGGTCTTTTACACAACTCCACTCGAAGGAAAAAGCGAAGCTGAGGAAGAAAAGTCTGATGAGATAAATGTCAGTATGTTGGACAGAAGGAACAGTTACATTGATCAGAGAGGAAAGAGTAGATAGCAATTGTGATAATCACTGAAGGTCATTGCCTCTTTGTTTAACCTCCTTTTTCTGTGCATCAACTAGAACTTATTTTATTTTCAGATTCATTTTTTTCTTTTTTGAAAATATTGGTTCAAGAAAATGTTTTTATTTCTGCATAGAAGTGTTTATATAGTGTAAGAGTAGCTTCAGGGTGGGGGAGGGAGCACTTGCTTTTCTAGCTCTGCAATGCAGGGGCTCTGGGAGAATTATGAGCATAGCAGCTACGTCACGCAGTTAAAGACACAGAGCATGCCCAGAACGGCACTATTAATGCAAATAGTCACACTTCTGCTTTTGCTGCACCCTTTCTTCCACTCTGTTCAGCTTTTAACTTTCTGCTCATTGCAGTTTTATTTTCATTGGTTAGTACTATTCTGTTCTGGCATGTTTTCAGCTCACAGCTTCTGTTTTAACACTCTCACCGTAAAAGTTTCCAGCACTTTTAACACGTGCCACCTTTCTCTTCCTCCACCTCCTCCTCCTCTCTCTCTGCCCCCCCATCATTCCCCAAACTCTTGTCTCTGTTCTCCCCAGAAGTCAGCGAAGCGACGGCCACCCTCGGGCCCGGCACCATGGGCTTGAGCACCCGCTACAGCCCCCAGTTCACCCTGCAGCACGTGCCCGACTACCGCCAGAACGTCTACATCCCCGGCAGCACGGCCACCCTCACCTCCAATCCCCAGCAGCAGCAGGCCACGGCCCAGCAGGCCACACAGCAGGCTCTGCCTCCGCCTCAGGCCTCGGCACAGGCCGAGCCTCCAAAGGCTGCCCAGACCCCGGCCTCCAAGAAGAAGTCCACCAAGAAGGAGAAGAAGTAGACATAGGTGGAGAGGAAGTTGAGGCATGATGAAGTGATGAGAAATCCATCCCCCCATACCCCACCATTGCATATCTGCTGTCACATGGATGCAGCTGGTGGTTCTTAAAAGGTTTTCCTCTGAGAATCCAAATATGCTGGAGGTTTTAGTGTTACTAACCCTTGTTTTGCCTAAAGGTCTAGTATTGTTCATGTAATCTTTGTGGGTAGATATTTTTTGGTTGGGTATGGGGGGTTGCTGTTATCTTTCCCCTTCTTATTTTCTTTAAATGAAAAAAAATTTAATGGACAAAGAGATTCAGTGTAAGAACCTTGCTGGAGTGACAAGGCTACACACAGCGATGTATTCAGAGATGAAAAGTTAATGTCTTTCATGTTGGATTTATTGTGAACTTTCCAGAAAGTGGAAAGTCGTCTATTGTAGAGTTCGCTTGTTGCCATTCATTATAATCCTGTGTAGGGTCAGCCGCAAAGCATAAGGCTGGTATTACAGACTCTTCTGCATGCTCATTAATGCAAACTATGCATTGCAAAAGCAAAATGGAAGACATTCGGAATCCTTTTTGTTCCTCCTTTCAATCGCAGGTCATTGTAATGCACATGTAGTGATTACTTGACAAAAAATAAGAATAACTTTTGTAATCATAGTTTTAAGGAAAAAAAAGATAAGAATTTAACCTTCTGATATTTTGTATGACCTGAGCATGCACCCACAGTTAAGGAGAGGACCTATCAGAGGACTGTACTCTGAGGTCATCGTGGCTTCCTGTATCACACTGCAGGATGGGTACAGAGATATCCTGCTGTCCCCCTCACATCCGGTTAGTGTCTTTCCTCACCCCCAATTTGAGCCAAACTAAAAGAAATGCACTGGTTGTTTGCTGAGAAAGAGATAGTGTTGGGGTTTTAATCACTTCAATCTTTAGGGAAAAGTGTAGATGTGGTAAACTTAAGTGCTTAGGAGTTTCTAGACACTTTGTAAGCCTATAGGGCCTTGATGGAGTTTTCCCTTCACTTTCTTGAGGTGCTGAAGAAATTTATTGATGTGTTTTCTTTATCGTTTTTCTTTGGGAGATGTTGATTAAATTGCATAAATGGGTTTGTTTAAGATATGAAGTCTTTACTTTGCCGTCCATCTGTTTGTCCAGTTAATACTGCATGAAAAAGAGGGCCACTCACAGGCTGGGTAAGAGGGGGGCAGAAGGGGATTAGTGAGAGCTAGAACGATTAAGGTGACTACCGAGTGGGTGAGGATACAACCTTTGGCTCTACCCACTGAATGTAAAGAAGAACCAATGCTGCCCTGCCCACCCTTTTTAACTCCCTCCAAAGTGTTGACCCAGATAGAGGTCAACAGACCCAAGCACAGTCAAAGCAGTGGGTGAGGAGAAGACCTTTGGCACATCTTCTCCATGTTTGAAATTAATTGCAAGCATGATCTTCTCCACATCTCACCTGTCAGCACTAACCCCCCCTCCTCGACATTCTGTGAGGCTCCTCCCCCACTGTAAATAAACACGAGTCCGGTCGATGGTATGAGCCAAGTTTTTGAACAGAAGGGACCACGTCCAACGGTTCCCTCTTGACAAGGCATGGCTTACTACTGGAATGTGTTTGCTTTTTTGTTTTTCAAGAAAATGAAAAACCGCAGCTTAAAAAAAAACACAAAAAGAACAACAACTCTATTTACAATAGACAAAAAAATTTGACCTGTTCTTCAACAGTTTGTGTTGCAATGTAGTAACTGAGCACCATGGAAGCCAACTAACTCTTCAGTGTAAATAAATGACTTAAAGATAACTTTAGATGAGTAAAAACAAAGTGACACACGTAGACTAGTTAACTTGTGGTATGTGTTGCGCATATTTTTGTGTTTATTTTTCTCTTTACTACCTTTTATCACCCTGTAAAGAAATAAAACAAAAAAGAAAAAAAAATGGAAATATTTCTATCCTTCTGTAACCTCTTAATGTTAATTTTGCAGTGATTTTTCTCTTGTGCATTTGTGAAATAATGCCTCTCATTCTCTTTCTGTCCATATGAACAAATGATTATAAATATTATATATGTGTAAGTCCGTCTGCTGCTGAATTAATACTACTCTATCCTACTGTATTATCTTTCTTATCAAACGCTTTGCCCCACGCCACACCCCTGTGTTATTCTCTTATTTTTATGCTAATATTTATATTTCTGTTCTATTTTCTCTTGGACACTGACATTTCAAATAAAAGAACTCATTTAAAAAAACCTTACATTTTTGTTGTTTGTTTTAACTCTTGAAAATTTTTACAGTAACTGCAGTTTAACTTTGTTAGATTTCTCTTTTGAGCTAATCCTACTTAGAATAACATTTGACAGCTGTAGTTATATTTTCAAGAAAATTAATCTTTAATAATTTTTTTATAGTTATTTCATATGTTTTGTGCCTTTAAAAAGGATGCAAAGTGCATAATATAAAATTATTTAGTTTAAAACAACTTGCCTCTGAAAAAATATAGTTTGGTCATGTGCTATGCTAATGCCCGCTAATGTTATTTAAATTTCCTTTGAGAGACTAAATACAGAACATTATTTCCAGGGAAAAGCCTAAAAACTTGGTGGAGCTACTTTAAGAGATAATTACGGCTGCCAAAGGTTCTTTAGTCACCAAGATTGGACACATCTTAAAGGGATATTTTTTCCACTCCTCTTTGCACAAACTCATTAAACCTTTTTTGTTACTTGACTATTATTGCTTAGCAAATTAATCTTCTGCTCTCTATAAAGGTTTTTGATTAGCACTGAGATCAATAAAATGGCTGCAGTACTTCCTTGAAATTGCATTTGTCGAATATTTTGGGAGATTAAACAATCAGAAGACCAATTCAGAAGCCATCTCCACAGTTCCTGTTTAGAGATAAAGGCTCTTATTCCAGCATTTTAGTACATGACCTCATCCAATGGCTCTCTTTGGGAAAAACAGCTCCAAACCTGCTATGTTTTCACGAACATCAGAGGAGTACTTGGTTAAACATTTGTGCAAAGTATATTTTAGGAACACAAAATATTCAAGGTGGTGAAATACTCTTTCTGTCTCTGGGCTGTTATGCCGGACCCAAACCTTCTTTATCTTCCAATTCTTCCAAAGAGATCATTATAGGATGTAGAGACTCTTTGTGGCACAAGTTCCTATAAATAACCAAAGGGATGCCACTGAGTATAACAAAAGGAGCTCCACCATGCTGCTACAGATGTTGCTGGGATAAAAGAAAAGCCTAAGAAGCGGGAGGAATTGGATGAGCAGTATTAAGAAGGCATGGCACTCAATTCAATGCTGAGTTATTCCACCTTTCTGGACTGAGATTTGTAAATACCTGTAAAAGCACAGCTATAAACGTTGTTGATGTCTACACCTTCTGGTGTCAGGTTTATTTTTAAGTTAAATCATACAGTTCAGCTTTTTTTTTTACACAGCAGCTTTCCAGCCTCAGTGCTGCAGAAGCTCAGCACTCCTCCCTCCCCTCACCCCCTATCCCTGGATGTGCTACAAGGTTGCCATGGCACCTGTCAGCCCCAGCTCTCCATGATTATCTTTGCCTCCCTACGACACGTCTTCATTAATACTCCCTGAAATGGCCACCACTGACCGCTACTCTGTGCCTTACAGGGCAAGGACGGAGCCACAAGAAAGCAAACATATTCATCCATTAGTCAAACCTGTAAGCAAAGGGAGACATATGCAGGAAACATGGAGGAAAACTTCCCCACACACAGGGCACAAGTGGAATGAGTCAGAGGCTATAAAGCAGCGTGGGCTTGTCTCGGTTTGATTCACTGAAGAACCGTAGTACAGGAGCTGATCTATATCTGGGCAACAATCAAAGGAAACTAAAGAAGTATTCTTATGGGAGAATAGTGCATGGACTATTAGGAGTAAGAGTTACTTTGTCAGCTGATGTTTGTCATCCTGTGACTCACAGAGGCTCCTGCTGTCCCATTTGTCACCCATTTCCCCTGGAGGAGACCCAGCAGAATGAGGAGATTGTTCTGGTGTTGCCCCTTTCTGTGCCTTGCCACCATAGTTCACTTAATTAAGCACATTCCTGTTCATTAGACACAGACCAATATACTGTACACAACAGAGTGGAAGACTCACAAACTAGTGATGTATAGCAGAGGATTCGAAATGAAAAAGAGCAGAAGCTGGATTGAGACAAAGACCTATCTGTTTGACAATTTTAGCAACAGAAGAAGAATCTCTAAAGTCATAAGAGTCACAGAGAGCGAAGAACAGCATCATCAAAAGAGGAGTGACAAATCCATGGAAGCAAACGTATAATTTCTCTTATTTTCATCATTTTCATATTCTCACAAGAAGAAGAGATTGCACTTTTGTTTTAGGGTAAGGGAATATTAATTCATATGATGAATAAATTAGATGGGAATTGTGGACATTGACCAAAAACTGCCTGTATGAAAAACACTTTGTCAGAGTCTGGGTACAAAACAGCACAGTAAGTGTCTAAAGATCTTTAAAATTATAAAGATGTAGACATTTCCAGAATAAGGAAGCAACTTTTTATAAAAGCAGTACGAAAATCTCAAAGCAAAAATAAGGAATTCCTTCCCAGTGTCTGAGCTTTGAGTGAGAAAACATATCATAAGAGTAGGCAATACGTCTGGAAAAGGGAAAAAAAAACAGGATGTGACGATATTAGCTTCTCGTGGCGGGGAAAGGAAGCAAGTTTCCCGCGCGTTTCTGTTATTTTTTTAACCCTTCAGAGATAAAAAGGAAGAAGGGAGTCCTCCCCCCTACTCAAACCTCCTACCCTGGCTTCCTCTCTCCTTCCTTTCCTGACCCCCCCTCTTCTCCTCCTTCCTCTCATCCTGCAGCTGTCTCTGGGTCACCACATGTTGGAGGACAGAGCAGTGCTCTGTGAATGTGCACTGCAGGAAATACAACTGGTCAGCTTCAGCAGCCAAATCCAAATCACACTCTATAAAGATTAAATACATCAACTGAATGTGATTTGTGCCAGTAAAAAGCTGGGGAATGTGCTGTTTTTTTTTTAAAGATGTTCCTTATAAAAAATAAATGACAAAAAGAGATAGGAATGAAAACCTCACGCAACTCTAAAAATACATCTTGGCACAGAATCACACATCAAATATCTCCCTCTGATTAAGGATGATAATATGCAGGCCTCATGTTTGTCTCCTTTCCAGAACTCGTCAAATGCTAGTGAACACTCTTAAGTTACCAAACTTCTTGTGTTGTTTCCAAAAAGTCTGTTTTCATTTATCATTTCAGCAGAGAGGAATGTGCTCATCAGGCTTAGATAATAAGGAGGCCAGAGAAGCTGAGGAGGCCATCGTGCAAAAGAGAGAAAGAACATTGAAGCACTGAAGCCTGAACGTTGCTACGGCTAACACTACCCTGATTTAAAGAGACACAGTAATGTGCTGGCTGCTGGCTCGGTTAAATCGCAGAGATGGAGCTGTAGCAATGCAGACCAAGAGCACAATGCACCCTTTGAAAGCAGAAAACCCCTTTTTTTGGTCTCTTGATTTGAAAAGCCCCTTCTCTCCTCTGTTTCTCCCTGCCTTTCGCCTCATCTGCTTTGCCAAAGGCTTTCTGTGCCTGTTTTCTCAGCTGGGAGGATGGAAGTCAGACGGGGTGGGGGAGGAGGGGGTGTTGAGGAGACAGGAATGAAGCAAGGAATGACAATTTGAGAGACGAAGAAAGGGGTGAATATAGACTACTAGTGAGACCAGGTTATCTGCTTCATAGTTGAGTAGCAAGAGGATCGAAGAAGACCAACTGGTTAGAACAGTCGTTCTTGGCAGTTTAATCATGTGACCAGTTCTAAGAATGATCACAGAAGCAGAGCTGTACCTACACCATTGAATATGGTTTTGTTTTTAGGAGATCAAAAGCCTCCATCTGGTACATAATAGTCTGAGGGCATCCCCCACCCCCACCCTGCCTCTTAGGACTCTCCAACACACACATAAGAAAAAAAACAACATTCCAGCATAACCCCAATTCCAGTCAACAAATCATACACCCCCATATGAGCAGTCCACCAGCCCTCACATAAATGCAGCTGCCACACCCCCCACAGCACAGTATCTAATCCTCTACTTCCACCGCTGCTGTTGTCATAGTTACGGAAAAGCCAGATTTCAGTTATCCGGGAATTAGCAGGAGGCTGTGAGGAAGCTGTCAAAAAAAGATGTGTAACAAAGAAGCCATAAAGCACAGAGAACTGTGTTTATGAAAACAGGTCAGCCTCTTGTAGCAGATGTTTTGCAACATACAGCTACTAGAGGCTGCACTTAGCAGGGCTTTAGCTGAAAAAGCAAGCATGTTAATGTGTGTGTGTGTTTCCAAAGGTCTGCAGATATGAGGCCCCTCAGACATACAGGCACATAAACAGAAGCATGTCGACAGCTCCACGCCATGCTGACAGGTGTTGCTGTGGAAATGGTGCAGCTGTTGCACGGATATTTCTGTCTAATAAGGCTACGCCATCAAGCAGCTCTCCATTTCCCCTCCTCTCCCTTTAGATCTGAGCTAGCACACCACAGACTCATATCCGAAATAAGCTCTAAATCAAACTTGTATTTCACCTTTATGTGTACGGCTGTATGTGTTGTAGGATTACTGCATACTGTTTTTTTAAAAAGCATGACAGAATTTGAAACAAGGCTAAAACAGAGAGTTAAAAAAAATGACACACCAGTCAGTCAAAAAAGGACATTGGATTAGTCGATTGGCTTTAAAAAGTTTACTCAATATGATAAGACGTAGACAAAATACACTCAAATATGAGCTTCAGCTTAAACAAAAGCCAGGTCTTCAAAATTTGGAGGAGCTTCTTCAAACTAACCGGATATTAAACTCTACTGTATCTATGTAGTTAGAAAAGTGGTGTCTTCCTTTTTATGACCA